AGGAAGGAAGGAAGGAAGAAAAGGAAGAAGGAAGGAAGAAGGAAGGAAGGAAGAAGAAGGAAGGAAGGAGAAGGAAGGAAGGAGGAAGGAGAAGGAAGAAAAGGAAGAAGGAAGGAGAAGGAAAGAAGGAGAAGGAAGGAAGGAGAGAGTAAGCGTGAAAAATGGTCATAAGTTTATTCTTGTTTGTTTGTTTTTCCTTTAGCTTAACTCTAAGAAGAAGTCAACATTAAACTTTGGAAAACAGGCCGGTCTGCAGGCACAGAAAATGCTTTAAAACCCACACAATAGTTGTAAAGATTGGCAGATACATCTAATTTTCCCGCCAGACACACCTTGAATAACTGACCACTTTTAAAAGCTGCAGAGTATTTTTTTTTATTAGAAAAAAAGTTTAAAAATAAAATCGGTCGGATTGCACCGTGGGTTCAGGGGAGCGAAGATGTTCTGGATTCTCACCAAACCAGGCATCCCGGTAACCCTTTAACATTTCCAAAATGCATCTTTGTGCTCTAGGAAAATACCACACGTTTTTTTCCAAAAAACAAACAAACCCCAAAACCTTAAATTTTGTAAACAAAGCAACGGTCGGGTAATCCTACTGCTGTCCCCGGCCAACTCTTTTCAGAAAGGAGGGTTGGTTTTCATGCTTGTGTTTTAAAGAAGTAATTATTTCCTTCCCAGCATCACAGGAGTGAAAATCACTGGAGTTTTTGGATGGGGCCTTGGATCTGCAAAGATGGTCGTGCAAATAACATACTAATTCTTTCAGCCCTAAATGTGTAGAAAATCGTAATCCAATTACCCAGCCTGGCGATCAGTCCCTGCCTTTTTTGGTGGAGGGGTGGGGTGTTTATAAAAAAAATCATTGGGGGAAATTTCTCGAGTGAGAAAACCGTGGTTGGAGTTTCTTTTCTTTTTTTTTCTTTTTAATGTGACTTAAATTCTATTAAACCGACAGCCGGCTTGGAAGCCACAAGGTGCTGTTTGTTTTCCAAATTCACTTAGGATTTTGACTTGGACACTAATCTTGCTGTCGAATTGGCAGCCTTTGGCGGCAGGAGGAAAACTGCATATTCATGAGCTACCAAAAATCCTGTTTTGTGCACAGAAGTTTGAGCTAACGGCTTCCAGAACTGGGAGGGAAAAAAAAAAAAAACTCAGTTAAAAGAAGGGAACTACCATCACTTTCTACATTTTGGTAGTCCTCAACTTACAACAGTTCATTTAGTGATTATTTGAAGTTTACAAGGGCATTGAAAAAAAGTAACTTGTGACTGTTTTTCACATTTATGACCGTTGTCATATCCTCAGGGCTGCGTGATTTACATTTGGATGCTTGCAGCGATTCACTTAACAAACTTGTTCTTCACTTAA